AACATACGTTTTCCGATGGCTCAGCATCTCAGCATTTCGTATCCGCGGATATATCCGAGCATATCGACGACGCAAGTCACTGTATAAGTGGAGTGCATCAATGCGCACAGCTACATCGACTACACACAAACACTGCGCTCTCTGTTTGTGTGTAAAACTCTCTGCTTGTGTGTAGTCGATGTAGCTGTGCGCATTGACGCACGCCACTTAAACAGTGACTTGCGTCGTCGATATGCTCGGATATATCCGCGTATACGAAATGCTGAGATGCTGAGCCATCGGAAAACGTATATTTGTTTAACTTGTAACATCACCATACAAAAGTATACGTGTTTTGTATGGAGATGTTACATTCTGAACAATTTCGAATCTAAGTTACTCTTCTGCGCTCACGCGTTCTATTAAGGATAAAACTTGTATAATAATCACAAAAAAATAACACGAAACCACTTCAAATAAATGAAATGACTGCTTACATCGACGATTCCCGTTTCATTTTCAAAATATTTTGGAACTGAAATATCCAAGTGCGCATATTGTTTGGGCTCTCTGCCAGTGTACCGTTCAATTGCTTGATTTCATCTTCGATGAGTCGAGCCATAATCGGGACATTGCACAGAATAACTGCATAAAAGACGTCAACCGCATTCATTCCCACCGAACGAATAACCATTAAAACAAATTGAATGCAAGCCAAAATGCAGTAACCAGTCGTTGTGTTTTCGTCAATGCCAGGTACATACAAGGGTAACATTGGTACTCGTTGATTATGAAAGTAATACATATACATCGGATATGGAATGAGAAGAAAAGGTGATCCAAAATACATGATCTTCGCCAAATTTACAATTCAATTGGTGTAAAATGCGAATTGATTGAATAGTTCTAAACGGACATGGGACTTGCTTTTGATATGCAACTTGAACAAACCCTCAATGAAAGTGATCATTTTTTGGAAATCCAAACTGTAACGGGCATTATACATTTTGAAAGAAGCCTGAAAATATTATTGGGTCTGGGAATTAGTTTTGTCGATTTTTTTAAATTTTCAAACATTTATTTGAATACCAAAATGAAATTACATTTCAATCAAAATATTGTCCATCGGAAGCGATGACCTTCTGCCACAATGTGGGCAATTGACGGATGCCTGCCTTAAAAAATTCCTCATCTTTTGAGGCTATAAATGCATCGAGCCAATTTTGGATTTCTTCAACTGAAGAGAACCGCTCTCCGTCCATATGGTTTTGCATCGATCGAAACAAATGGTAGTCGGAAGGAGCCAGGTCTGGGCTATACGGGGCGTGAGCCAAAACTTCCCATCCGCTATTTTCCAAGTAGTTTTTGACCGATTTCTCAATGTGTGGCCGAGCATTGTCATGTAGGAAAATCAATGTCTCTTTTCTGGTCTCCCATTTCGTGCGTTTTTCTTTGATTGCTTGTTTCAAACGTATCAATTGTTGTCGGTAGAAAGGCCCATCGATGGTTTGACCACTTCTCAGCAGCTCATAATACACCACTCCCTCCTCATCCCACCAAATAGACAGCATTACCTTGTCGCCGTGAATTTCTTGTTTTGGCTGTGATGTTGCTGGTTGGCCGGGCTTAACATACGATGCTTTGCGCTTGGGGTTATCGTAATGAATCCATTTTTCGTCACCAGTGACAATTCGATACAGAAAACCTCTTTTTTTGTGCCTTGCGAGCAGCATTTCGCAAGTCACTAAACGCCTTTCAGCTTGCGCTGGCGTCAATTCATGTGGTACCCAATTTGACAACTTGCGAATGAAACCAAGGGCCCTTAAACGATATCCAACAGTGCTTCGGTCAACATTCAATGCTCTGGCAAGCTCATCTTGAGTTTGACTCGAATCTTCATCGAGCAATGCCTCCAATTCCGCATCTTCAAACTTTTTTGGCTGGCCGGGACGTTCCTTGTCTTCCGTGCTAAAATCACCACTTTTGAACCGTGAAAACCACCGTTCACATGTACGTTCCGATGGAGCATGCTCACCATAGGCTTCCACCAACATTCGATGCGCTTCAGCCGCAGTTTTCTTCAAATGAAAGCAAAAAATTAATGCTTGCGGGAAATGTTGCTTTTTCGGTACAAAATTTGACATATTTAAGGCGCAAAAAAAAATGTTTATCCAAATTTCGATGAAATGATAGATGATGATTTTTGTAGTTTGACACTAGACCACTCATGTGAAAAAGAAAAAAGTATTGCCCGATACAACCATGCAAAGTTACGCCATCTTTTGAAAAATCGACACGATTAATTCCCAGACCCAATAATAAAATCCTAGACTAGAGACTATATGTAGTCAATGATCTAGTTTTCATTTTAAATTCTATAAAGTACCTGAATAGAGAGAGTCATGAAAAAAACACAATTCAATCGTACGAAATTGTCATAATAAATTATAGTGTATATTATGGATCCAATAGCTAATGCAAGCACTGCTCGCATCGAATACGAATGGAAAGTGATTTTGAAGTCTTTGTCATAAATATCGTGGCCAACAAATGACAAAAGGCTACGGTTCCAAACAAAAGTCGCGGAATAGAATTTGTTATATGAATCCATTGTGTTTGCGTTTAAATGACACACAAACTGAACAAAGGATTTTATTAAACTGCAAATGATAAGAGCTATCCATCCAGTTTTATAGCGTACTGAATCCCAATACGCGATTTATTTCATGTGGCATACACGAGCTATGTGATTTTTTATGTATGATGTTTTTAATCCTTGACTTATGCCATGGTCATTACATTCATTTCCACGAAAAATGGTATGAATTGAGTAAACAAACTTATTAGCTAAAATTGATGTGGGGTGTAATTACATGGTAAACGAGGCTTGTGTTGCAATTGTAACATTTTCTTTCAATGGAACTTCAATTGTTGAAGCCAATTGTTTTCCATTCTAAGAGCAAATATACGTATCGATTTTCATTGAAATTGAAGTTAAATGCTCAATGATATTCAAAACAACAAGATCAACATCGCTCATCGAGAATAGCACTAGTCTAATTGCTGGACTTTCCACGGCGTAGTATTGACGATTTAGTTCAAAACCGATGAAAATTCTCATTCGGCACATATAAGAGTGAATACAACCACCAATTGGTTTGACGTATTGCTATCAAAACATTAACTTAACATCGTTCAGATGAATTTTTGTTTCAAATTATAAATCATTTTAAACGAATGGGATGTCTGGTACTTCAGCTATAAATTGATTTTTAAATGAAATTTCCATTTTTCAAGGGAGAAGAATGCTAGAACGATGGATGGAATGCGTTTTTCTTATGGATTTTCAATGAAAAGAATTGATTAGAAAGAATGGATCCAAATCGATAGACCGTGAAAAGCGCTATACGGTTACAAAATGCGAGTTGGAAAATGTTTTATTGCGCATTACAACCTCAAGGATAAACCGTTTTGATCGAGGACTTTCATGGTGAATTTTTTTAATTGTGCTTTTTCCCTTGAATGTGAAAATTATCAAGCGAAAAAATGCTTTCAGCTGGTGAAATTAGTGAATGTCATGATTGTTCTACAATTGATTGTTCAATCCCATTGAAAATGGCAACCAATGTATAAGGGGAAAAATACTGATATATAGTTATGATTTGAAAAATTTCGGTTCAGTTTGAATCCACACTCAGAGTATATCAGTTCAACAAAAATTGATTGAAAAAAAACGATTTGTACGCAAACATTTCTCTTCCATTCAAATAAACACTTCGAATGCCTGTATTCTTGAAGCTTTTAATGTTTGTGATTCCAGATTCCACTGTAGTTCAATACTAATTTGTTTATCACTGTGCACATGTTGTTGTGTACTGATGCCACAGTATACAATTAAAAAATATTTCTACTGGAAAAACCTTATCGTCAGTAAAATAAACAGAAACAACAATAAAACAATTCTATGTAACGATTAGTTTTTATATTGTCACAAATATTTACTAATTTGATACAATCTACTCAAATAAAGACCGCACAGACTCTCACTGATACAGACTGAATGGAAGCGAATAAAATTGCAGAAGTGTGCACACTATCACCATTTTTGCCTGCGTATATATATGCACATATGCTCATGCGCCTTATTCTGTGTATAAGCGTTGTGCTCAACTCAGCTTCCTGCATTAATATTAGTATTAGTGTTGCTCTGATAGACTTTCAGGTAACTCATCACAGAGTGTTACAAAGTGTTCGTTTGAGTGAAATAACACTTTTTTGGTGTTTCACTTGCGCGCAAGTTGCGCGTTTTTTTATGAGTGCAGCTTTCATTTGAATAATTTATTACGGCGCGTGTTACTATAATCGCTATCACTTCCTGTTGTTTTTCTCTGAGATAAAAGAATCTTTTAAAAATAGATCAATTTAATGAAACAGTATGATGTTCGTAATGTGGACATTTCTACATGTGCTTCACATTTAAGTGAAAAGGGAAATGACTTGAAACAATAAATAGAATCGCCATAGATTTTTATTGAATGAAAATATTCAATAATTAAATTTCATTTCAAAAGATGCAAAAATGTTCCAGTTTAACTTGTTTTCTCTGCTTTTGTCTTCTTAAATCCGTGGACTACTGTCAAGTTTCACTAGAAATACTAAAATTTCTTCTTAGTTTGAGATATTAGAATCATTATAATTCATAGCAAAACCCGGAAGCATATGGACACATTCCAATCATACTAGGAATGCATGGAATAAAATAGATCAGTCGGTTTTCGCGTGATCGAAACAACATTTCATGACATCAATTTAAAATGCAAATGATGGATATCAATGAAAATTGTCGTAGCAAATGTTATTGATTGAATTTCTTTTTAATTCGATATTCCCATATAAAATTTATTTCAGATAACAAGGAAGATCTACAACTTTGTCATGCTTTTATTGAAGATTTATTGAATTTCGTGGATCAAACTAATGTGTAATTGTAACAAATTTGCGCTCAAATTCAACTAGATATACTAGAACAAATTTGTGCATACTAGAACCATGCGTCTAACGCCTCGATGGTTGAACTCATCAAAATATATGTTGACACCCCAATTTTCAATGAAGCGAGCCAACATCGGGTAGTTAATGGTTTGTATGCTTTTAATTTGCGCTTTTGTCAAGTGATCTACTCTGGTGAAGCATGAATCTACTATTCGCAGTAGAGCCACTTGATCCTTCCAATTTTTCTGTGCTCTTTTGTCATAAATGGCTTTTGCTATTTTCAAAACTTCGTTGATAATGTGTTTGTTTTCTATCGGAAGTTCGTTCAGCTCATCAATAACAATTCTTAGTTTGGCATCAACGAGACTCTCTTTGAATGAATAAAATGGAAGAAAATTATTTGAGAAAAAAAAATAATTTTTCACATTAGCTTACTTGTAGTGAATCTCATTACATCAGCAATCTTATTCGGTATAATTGATTCCTGGAAGGATGATAAGAAGCGTCTGAAAAGAGGAGCAATGACTTCCACACAATTCTCTTCTCTTAAGAAATCATACGATCCTCTTTCAATCGCCTCTTGTTCCACATCCAGAACAAAATCTACATCTTCTCTGAAAATATTCTTTTTCATTACGCATTTTTCCTTCAAAAAATTCAAAGTCTGTCCCAAGAAATGTTGTAGCAACGGTTGATCCCAACAACTTTGGAGATTTTGGTTTCCAAATCTAGAAATCGAAACAGAAAAAAAAGGGAAGAACAGACGATGATTCCTACTAGAAAAAAATAAAATAGCAACTGAAAAGCTCAAATCAAACAATTACATTTTAGCCACAAAGAACTTTTCATCTTTGTAATAGATTTTGAATTGAAACTGTGAGCTCATGGCTTCATAAATGGTATATTCACGATTTGTTATTGAAATACTTTTCAACAGTAGTTTTGTTAACGAATAGTTGGATTCATCTTCTTTGGAAGTGGTCAACCAGTCGTACAAATCGTTTCCAAATGTTACCGCGGTAATTTTTGTATTTGTGGGAGATTTATGCTTGATGATCTGCGTTAGAAATGTGCAAAGATCTCTGATAAAATGTTTGGTTGCCGTGGGAAGTGTATTAATTGAAGTGTCTAAGCTCTGTTGTGTTCCTGTGGAAAATTAAGTTGAAAGTATGAAAATAATTTAAAAAAAGGGACATGGAGTCTTTCTCCATTATAAAAGCAAACCAGAGTTTTTCAGAAGTTCTGCCAAGCTCTTGGGTACAGTGGGATGATCGAAACTACACAAAAAATTTATGAAAACAGACCAAACTTCATGCCGTTCGTCTTCTTTGAATTTGAATATTCCCTGAGAAATCCGATTTTCCAATCTCTTTATTATCACTGTATTTCCCGGTGTCGATGCAAAATCGGGTTTTCTTATGGCGTGAGTTTTCAGAAAAGTTGTGATGGCTATCCAGAACTGGGGTGTTCCATTTTTCCATAGCTCTTCGGCACTCGTAGCTCCGATTCTATGACCAAAGAGAACATGTTGATTGTTTTTGATGCATTACAAAAAAATATCAATATAATTCGAGAAAATTCTTACATTTTGTATTGCGCTGAGGATTGTACCTTTTCCTAAATGTAAAAAATCACAAAAAATTAGTGAAGATGGAAAAAATATAAAAATTCCTATGTGATTACCTGTAGCGTGGCCAACAATAGGCACAAAGGCAGAATTTTGACTATCATTGTTGACATCAATTGCGCTTCTGCTGAAATAGTTGACTCGATGGCGGAGAATAACTGACTCAAGCAATACAGATCGAACAATTTATATAGCAAAAATAATAATATTCAACGCAAATTTTGCGTTCATTATAATTATAATGTGGTTCAATTTCTCGCTTCTTAAAAAATTCCACTCAGTGAACGACAAAATCTATAATTCATATTGTCGCAATTGAGTGGTCGGGAATAAAAATGACTACACACTAAAAATCTGTAAGAATCTACACGATGATACCAATCAAACATGGATTTATATGACAAATCGTGTAAAAACGATAAAATATCGTGTAATTTCAAATAAATCAATGAATTGGTCAATACTATTACCCGATATACGCATCTGTCAAATGTTTGCGTCAACTTTGAAACATTAAAAATTACACGATATTTTAATGTTTTACACGATTCGTCATATAAATCCCATTTTGATTGTTATTATCGTGCAAATTCTTACAGATATTTTTTTAGTGTGTAAAGTTGAACCACTTATGGATAAGCGTAATACAATATTCTTGACGAAGCGAGCGGCTCTTTTGTTTGTAAGACAAGCGCTTGTAATACACGTTAAAATTGCACATAAGTGTGAGTGAGAAAGAATGCGTTTTCGGCATCCGGGGGAATCGGAAAATTCGGAGCTGGTTGAATGATGGCACAATGGGAAGCCATGAATTTGTATACATAGGGAATTGGGGGCGACGGACACATTATTTTTGCCGAATTCCGCTCGGAAATCCGAGTTTCGGCCATGTGTAGATTTTACCATATAAATCAATGTTATTGCAGCCGCGCTCCGAGTTTTTCATACAAACTTCCCATGTAGACGATCCAAAACAGGCAAAAATCGAAAAAAAGCTTAATTTTTTTTCGATTCTCATGCAGTATTTCATGTGCCCAATCCAATGGTGTTATCGGCACATCGAAATTCGCGCTCCTTATCACTTAATTTACACTTCGAAGCCAAATCACAACCAGAACCACAATTAAAATGAATCATCATACCAATGGATTTGAAAGTGTATCGAACATTTATGCTTCAATTAAAGTGAAACGCGATTTCCATAGTCAACAGATATTTCACGATTCACTTTCAAGCGAACCGAATTTATGTTGTACTTTTAAGAAGCAAGAATATTGTGTTACACTAATCCATAAGTGGTTCAACTTTTGTCATTTTTTTCCCGACCACTCAATTTAGAGAATAGTAATTTCAACGTATCCATCACTAAGTTTTATACACGAGTACCAGTTGATCAACAACTGTTTTGAGTCTTTCATAGCAATACATGAAAGCATATGGACACATCCCAGTCATAGGAATGCATGGAATAAAATACATCAGTCTTTTTTCACGTGATCGAAACAGCATTTCAGGCGTCAAGTTAAAATGCAAATGATGGATATTGTCGTAGCAATTTGTTGTTATTGATTGAACTTTTTTTTATTCTTCGTCAAGAAATGTCGTAGCAGCGGTTGATCCCAACAACTTTGAAGATTTTGGTTTCCAAATCTAGAAATCGAAACAGAAAATAAGAGAAGAACAATTTTTGTGCACAATTTTTTGCTTTTTAGAAATTCCATTCAGTGAAACGCAACAATTTTAAGTATATATTGTCATAATTGAGATATAGAATATAATTATAACGTATCCATCGCTAAGATTCTGACGTCAACAAGAAATTTTAATTGCGAATTTGCATTTTTTCTTGCATATTCTACTAAAATTTCGTTTTGATCAGTTTTATATCATTTACATATGGCATCTCTAAAAGCATTGTCATTCTGTCTTTCAACTCATCACTGTTGCTATCACGTGATGATGTACGTCAATGCATTTTTTTATATTTCTGTTTTGTTTATATTTCGTTATAATTTTGGTTTTCCACTCGAGTACCAATTGGATCAACAACTGTTTTGAGTCTTTCATAGCAATACATGGAAGCATATGGACACATCCCAGTCCTAATAGGAATGGATGGAAAAAAATACATCAGTCTTTTTTCTTTCTTTGATAATAACTCAATTTGCCTCCACGAGATATCGCTCAAAATTGGCTGAGAGTCTTGTTTCATCGTCATGAAGCTGCCATTGAATTTTCAGAACAGTTTTCTGTCTGTGAAAGGAGTTACAGCGCTATATGTGGCCAGTCATTCTTTGAAAATTTCTTCGTTTGTTCCATGCTAGGTGACATTGGTCGACCATATGGGTGTTAGTAGGTAATGTAAGTGTCTAAATCGGTAGAAAATCACATTTTCTTTCATTTGGGAATAGGGATTCTCAATATGTTGATTTTCTGAAGACTTGGACTGAACAGGTCAACTCCCTTGTTACTAACTTTTTTTTTGCCTTTTATTGGTCATCACTTTTCGAGTGTGTTCCATGCTAGGTGACATTTTTGATAATAACAAACGAAGAAATTTTCAAAGAATGACTTTTCTGACCACATATGGCGCTGTAACTCCTTTCACAGATGGAAAACCGTTCTGAAAATTCAATGGCAGCTTCATGACGACGAAACGAGACTCTCAGCCAATTTTGAGCGATATCGGCAAATCGAGTTACCATCAAAAATGTTGCCTAGTATGGAACAAAAGAATAAATTTTCAAAGAATGACTTTTCTCATCACATATGGCGCTGTAACTCCCTTCACAGCTAGAAAACCGTTCTGAAAATTCAATGGCAGCTTCATGACGATGAAACAAGACTCTCAGCCAATTTTGAGCGCGATCTCGTGGAGGCAAATTGGGTTATTATCAAAAATGTGATCGAAACAGCATTTCAGGCGTCAAGTTAAAATGCAAATGATGGATATTGTTGTAGCAATTTGTTGTTATTGATAGAACTTTTTTTTGATTCGATATAAGATTATTTGAATATACAAATTTGATTGGGACGGATTTCATATACATCTAACTTGCTTTCACTGGACATCACTAGTCTTTATAATAATCCATTGGAATGTTCGATACAGAATCGTTGTCAAATACAATTAAACAAAGTGCTTTTGTCATTTCACATTCAAAGACTAAAATGTTATCTCCACTGAATTAACCAGAGCTCATCACTCTTTGGATATCATTCCCATGTAAAGCGGATATCACAAAAGGTTTATCCAAAGACTCACTTTGGATCAACGTCTGGGGCAAAAAAAGTGTTCATAAGTTTTCCATTGAAATACAAAGCGTCCAGCATGCAAACAAAAGTGAACTAGGTTTGTCATTGTCTAAGCTAGTGAAAATCCATGTGATAACCTCTCCGTACACGAGATTATGTTATTTTCATGCCATTTCTATTCACGTTCCTATTTTTTGCGTTCGCTTTGTGAGCAGATCACAACAGAAGTAACATTGTTTTCATTGTAATCTAACCAAATGTAAAAGGGAAAGAGAGACACATGGATATATTCACATGCATGGTAACAAAATGCCGCAGGAAAATTACTGTTTCGACACGAAACATTCTGTTTTTCATGATTTCCATTTGTTTAGAGCAAAAAAACAAACAATAGCACGCCGGGAGAAAGCTCCAATGATTCGCATATGTTTCCATTTTAACAAATCTCCGAAGTGTATAAGGTCCCAGCAATGGATGCGTATCAGTGTTTTTCCTCCAAAAATGATAGACACCAGTAAGAACTACACTTAAGCGTTTGTGGCACTTTTTGCTGAAATTTTCATGCCAAATTCATGCCGAAATATACACATTTATATGTGGAAGAATCATCACAAAGCATGTAAACGATTCGCTCAGTATGAATTTCAATTTAAGGCGAATTCCATTGTCTCGATTCGAGTCTCCCTCCCCCTCTCTTACTCTCGAATATACTTGACGGAATGCTTTTCTTCGCAAACTTTTTCTCAAAATGACAGACAGTTGGCATAGG